TCATTTCTAAACACTTGGAAAGAATTATGCAAAAGTTCTGACGAATGAAGATCGGGTTTTAGCCAAGTTTCAGTAATGGCCAAACAGAAAAATTCCGTGCTTACTGAATTTAGAAAAGTGGAACGAATTTTCGAATTTAGGCCCCTAACATTTTGATAAATGAGAGATAGTGGGCCTGAAGAAACAATTAGTTTTTTGAAGGCGATAAGACTATTGCCTTGGTATTAAGGGGACGATCTCGATTCCTTAATTATGGATCCTACTGGCCACAGTGATTTGTTTAACAACATATCACTGTTTTCAGTCGGAACTAATATTTTAAAAGAGGGGATTGCCCTAGCTTGAGAAGGAGCCATTTTGAAGATGCTAACACGCTTTATGTTGACTGATGGGACTTTCGTCGCTAGATAACCTTTTATGTTATCCACCGATGTTTCAGCTGCCAGTCTTGATACAAATATTGCTTTTCTGGGAGGAACTGCCGTCAAGCAAATGTCATTATATGGAACAGGAGGGGGGTTCACGGTAGGAGAGTTTCGAGTTGGGGAAAATATAGATGGGGTTATCGCCCTTGTACCGGCAGCTTGTGAGACTTGCCCAGTCTGGTGACCAGCATTCACACGCGAACAGCCAGGAGGAGAGGATGATTTATTTTTCTCTTCATTACTTTTAGGCGATGGCGCTTGATTAGAGTGAGTGGCGGCTTTGGGCGGAGATACCCTTGCCGCTTCAGCGTAGCTTAAAACCGATGGACTTGCCGGTTTGTTTGTAACTGTTTTGCTACCAACCGGCTCAGCAATATCGGAAACATAACTGTTCATTTTAGAGTTAGAGGGAGCGGTAACTTGTACCGACGAATTAGATTTGGAGACAGCCAGAGGTGACGTCCCACACGCTACGCTACAAGTAGAGGATGAGTGTCCAATAAAGCGACACTCATCAAACCTAGACTTAATGAGCTCAAACACGGCCGAGAATACCTGCACACTTTGCATGACCAAAGCGCTCGCAGAGCCAACAAGAAACGAATCTATCAGAATCCGGGCCTGATTTCGCCCGACAAGGTGTATATAAACACTCCAAGTCCTGTCAAAAAGACAGTTGTGAATTATGATAGCAGACACACAAATCACTAAAAAAATCCTGAACATAAAAATTTATCAACCAATTTGTGCAAAACTTCTCTATTAGGTTGACACTGTAACGAGAGATCAATAGCAACACAAACTCCAAACAGCAAAAAAAAAACAGAGAAAAAGAGAGAAAACAAAAAATATAAAAAAGAGAGATTTATATCAGAGCTCAACATTTTTGTTTGCAAAAATCAAATGAATCAAAGCGTAAAGGAAAAGTATTTCTTTTACTTTGAATTCACTCACTTTCTTCTCAAAGTATATTATAAATTCACACACTATAAGGCAGAATAGCCACGAAATTCAACAAAAAATTAAAATATTAATTGCCGAAACGAAATATATACGACTATACCGCGCGATAGAGTTGCCAGACTGATATCCCCTATCCGTAAAAGTTATCAGCACTATTCATTATTCAGGGATGGCGATTAAGCTAACCGCCACATCCCCTATCCGTAAAAGTCAGCAGTACTATTCATTATTCAGGGATAGCGATTAAGCTAACCGCCATATCCCCTATCCGTAAAAGTCAGCAGTGCTATTCGTTATTCAGGGATGGCGATTAAGCTAACCGTCACATCCCCTATCCGTAAAAAAAAAACCCTGGTCCCAGTCAACTTTTTAAGTAATAAAGTGTTACCTTTAGCTGCTATGACACGACTGCAAGGCTCAGCGTAGTGCGAAGCGCGTTTTTGTAGTCGATCACCACCGTGGTTCCGTTAAAGGTTTGCGATAATATGCTTATGTGTATGCTTGGTTTGGGTTGCTTTCAACATGTTTGATAGACTTTCTGCCGCAACCTCAGTTCCGATTTGTATGAAATTACTTACACATATCTTAGCACTAATACTATCTTACGTGCCAACTTATGTCTATCCTATTGCTTATGTTTGTATGGTATTGATTACGCCCTCGTGTGCTTACGCATGGTGTTTACAGCTATTTTGTTTTTTTTTTCCCCTACTGCTCTGCTTGTTCCTATAGCTAAACTTCTGCTTATCCTATTGCTCTGCTCAGCATATATTTGTACAATATTACCCCAGGTACCAAATCGTATGATTTGGTTCCCGTTAGGTGTGTGCGCTAGACTCGCTATGCTTGTTGGTATGCCTGTTCTTCTGTTCGTTTCACTGTCATTGCTACTTTCAATCTACTTTTGTAAAACGTACCCTCAGGTACCAAATCGCGTTATTTGCTGACCGTTAGGTATGGGTTCACAATTTGCTTAGGCTAAAGGTTTTTTTCCCTTTGTGCGTTTATACTACCACTTACCATTACTGAATGCATTTTTTTCCTTACATATTATGTGTGTCTATCCTACGTTATTATACAGTTAGGTATGTGATTTTTTACCAATGTATTTGTATAAGGTTGCAAATGTTCCCTACGTTTTCCAATTGGACATACATATTTACATGGTTTGAGTGGTTTTGTAGCTTTGATATCGCTTAAGGGTGACTTATGCTATATATCTTGGTACTCTATTTGTACAATGTTTATGCTACAAGTGTTTGTTAAATATTGGTGTGAGGTTTTTGTGTTCATATTTTTTGCGGATCCTCATAGTTCATAAAATTGTGTATAGTACATCCGAGTGCTTGGAATATGTTAATATTTTTGAGTACATTCTTGGAATACATTT